CTAATTATCCATTTCCCTCTTTCGCTCTACCACCTCCTTTTATGTTTCTATTCCTTATCCATTTTCGTACGCAGTGTGTAGAAAAATTAAAGTCAATACGAGGGCAAACAGAAGAAAGTAGGATAATAATTGAGATAATAACGACCGTAAAACGTACAGTAATGATAAGTATAACGATAGAAATAGGGAGAATAAAGAGTAACAATAACAATTATAACTAGGATAAGTTATAAGATCAATCATTATCATAATACTAACGTCAATAACAATAACATCAACAATAAGAAAGAAAATAAAGCTAATGACAATGGCAATAACACCAACAATGAGAAAGACATCATAGATATTAAAAACAACAACTAGAACAAGGCTAAGGACTACACAGCGAATTTTAAACACTACAAAACGAGGGTAAAAGGGTGTGGTCAGATTGCCTGGCGTCGCTCCCGAGGGGTTAAGGGAGAAGAGGGAGGGGGGAGTGGGTCAATTAGGGTGAGCAAAGGGAGGGACAAAAAAAGGGTGATGCTGGAGGGATACTTTGGGAGTTTTGCAGTAATTCTTTGGGAATTAAAGGGTGATGGAAAATGAAGTGGGGGGAGGGGGGAAAGGGAGGGAGTGGAGGAAGTGGGTACATACATACGGATGCACACGTACCTACAAAAACACACACGCAATCATAAATGCAAAATAAATACAAATATACATATCTATCTATCTATATTTGAGGAGCAAATGGAGGAAAGAAGAGAGAGAGAGAGAGAGAGAGAGAGAGAGAGAGAGAGAGAGAGAGAGAGAGAGAGAGAGAGAGAGAGAGAGAGAGAGAGAGAGAGAGAGAGAGAGACTACCTCATATATTTAGTAGGCCTGTAATTAACAAGTCCATGATGCTAGTTTTGGAGGTGAGATATTCTCAATTCTTTATCAATACAGTACGCCATACAGTAGAGGATATTACATCATGCTATAACAAATTTCTATGCATTATATAAGACACATATCCATACATTATTTAACCGATCATATAATTGATATTTCTGTGTTTTATATAACATACATAATTAGTAATGTATCACACTATGCTAAATTACAATATCATCTCATATCACTTAAATTCATATCATAGTTAACAATTTATAGAATCCTAACCACATAACCTAGTGTCAAGACACCAGTTGTAGACACGAAAAAGAAAGTTTATTGTTTATTGATGGTCCAAATGGCTATATTTAGTTAGCATCAGACGATTATCATTATTAGTGATATTAATGTTGCCTTTTGAAATGATTTGGGACTCTTCAGCGCGAACCAGTTTTTGATTCACACACACACACACACACACACACACACACACACACACGCAGGCAGGTAGACAGACAGAGGTTACAAGAAACACAAGAAGAAAAAGAAAAGAAAAATACGGAATAGATATAAAATTGGTAATCCAAAGCTCAACAGGTGGCTCCCTACCAACAAGGAGGGCAGCATCGGGCATAAATGCCCCCTTAGATAATAAATGTGTTTATAAAGCATTATTACGGTGCCGAAGGCTGTGGCGTAATTGCTATATGAACGTTCTCCTTTCTCTTCCTTCTCTCTTCCCTTCTCTTTCTACTTCTCTCTTTCCCTTCCTTTCTTTCTCTTCCCCTTCCCTTTCCTTCTTTCTCTACTTCGCTTTTCCTTATGTCTATATCCTATATCTCATCTTTCTGCATAAATATTTTGTGGTGGTAGTAGTAGCAAGGTTGGCAGTAGTGCTAGCGATGCTAGCTAGCAATGCTAGCATAGGTATGAGTAGTAGCAGCGGTAGTAATAGTAAATGTAGCAGTAGAAGGGCTAGCGGCACCAGTAATAGGGAATGTGGTATTGATAACAGTGGTAATAATATGTTGCAACTGTAGTGGTGGCAGTGGTACTATAAGTAATACTGGTATTATGGTACTCATAATAGTAGTAATGCTACCAGTAGTAGGAGCAGTAGTAATAATTAAATCGGGTATAGTTGTAGTAGTAGAAGCTGAAAATACAGCAGTATTAGTAGTTGTAACACGTATCAGTAATAGTAGTAGAAGTACTTTGGTAGTAATAATGATTCCAGAAAAAAGAGAAAAAAGGGAAAAGAGAAACCCTACAGACAGATCCGTTTCGATAACTATTAATATTGACAGCACAACATGCAGCGCAAATTCCGGCGCTGACCCTAAGCAAGTGAAAGGAATTACGTGTGAAAGTTTAAGAAGTTTGCATTATACTCTTTTCCAACTTTCTCTTTCTCTCTCTTCTTCCTTCCTTTTCTGTATCTCCTAATGCCATGCATCTGTTGGTTTTCCTTTGTTTTTTTTTATGTTTTTGTTATAAGTTGTTTTCTTCGGGGTTATTTGGATCACTTCCTATGATCTCGTTGAGGTTACCTATGTGTTGAGGCAGACACGCGTACTTAAGGGCAAATAGACAAATGGATAGTCAGACAAAAGAGAGAGAAAAAATACAAACACACACAAACAAGGTGGGAAGAAAAGCACGAAAAACAAGCAAAATATAAAGATGCAGACAAGGAAAGAATTATTGGTGCTGTGTCCTATTTTCACGGCACGAATACTGACGTCAAA